AAAAGATAAATTATAATTTAATGATAATACTAATATAATAAATAATAATAATAAAATATAAGAATAAAATAAATAAATTAAAAAGGTTAACTAAGTTAAAAATGCTAATGATGTTAATAACATTGATCATTCGTTAATCTTTGTAATGCAGTAGGATTGACTTTATATGATATCAGCGTATTGATGAGTTTTATAAGAGCTTTTCTTGGGCATTCTAGTAAAGTGATTGGTCTTGTATTATTTAGGTCAAATTCCCAAGGTTTAGGTTTTGGAATTGGGTAAACATATGCCAAATTCTAGTAATATGAAATAGTTGAAATCGATAAACAGCTATATATTATATACTAAAAATTTTTTTTAGCTAAGGGACCTAAATGTTTAAGCATTTTATTTGATATTTTGGATGGCACAGGTGTTCTTCTGTCAGTAAGAGAGTCAATGATAGAATACCATTCATTCGCTGAGAATGGTGACATCAAGCTATTGTATATACCAGTATCAATATTATCAAGAGGACTGTATGAAAGAAACCATTTATTAGGAATGTTTTTCAGTTCATGTGTAGAACTTATCGCTCTTTGGAAAGAGTTGTTAACTGTTTGTTTAACTAAGTATTCGTCTGTGAGAAGATCTTAAGCATTCCGTGATAAATATCTGTCTAATACAATTGTTCTCCTCATATGGTTTAGTGCTGAATCAAGCATTTTTTTGGGATTGTTAGCGAATGCCTCTAACCGCTAATCCAAATGTTTTTGTATAGAGACAAGTTTGTATTCATTTTCATAAATTTTGGTCTTGCATAAAAGGACTTTAAGTAAAAGAATAGTGTCTAATAAGAGGAGGTTAACAAAATTAAACGGGTAATCTGAGTGTAGATGTACCGTAATAAATGCAAGTGAGTTAGCAATATTGTGATATTTATCATACATTTGTATCCAATTAACAGAAAATGAATCACCTCTTTTGACTTTGAGAAGTAGCTTTTTGAACTTGTGTAAGGTTTTTTGATGTGAGTATAGACTTTTGAGGCTGGGTGGTCTTGGATATTTGAATTGACCAGACGATTTCCTGAATGGTATATATTTCTCAGCTGCTTTAATTAAAAGATCTTAAAAGAGGTCCCAGTGTTTGTTTAACAAGGAGTGCGTTTAGTATGTTTCTTAGTTGATCATTTTTAATTGGCTACCATTTAGTAATGTATCGAGCTTAGCTCTGAATTTACTCTATAGGTCTTTATTCATTTTATCAAAATTGAAGCTAATTTTTTTGGGAATTTTACGCTTATGAAATTTAATGTCTAAAAAATTCGTGATTATAGTAATGACTACATAGTGATCTAATATGTTCGTATTAAGTGCAATTATATGACAATCTAAAATATTAAGGGAGATGTCAGTAGATGTCCAGATATAATCAATTCTGAAAGAAGCTTGACTCGAAAAATAAGTAGGATAGTTAATTCTATTTCGATCGTATTTGATTGTAAAAATATCAAACAGTGATAGTCTATAAAAATTATCAAAGAGTTTTAGGCTGTCAGTGGAATTGTGTATTCGATCTATATTAGTATTAAAGTCTCCCAGTACGATCAAGTGAAAATCATTGATAGTGGCTTCATTAATCCAATTGTTGAGAACCAGTTGGACTTCTTTTCTCATTTTTAGGTCAGCTGGTAGTAGGTAGCAATTAATAATACAAAGTATTTTTTTATTTGCGAATTGTAAGTCAACATGAATCACTCAGTCAAGCTTAGTATTTTGCTTATAAACATGATGAACAATCTTTCTGTTGAGTATTATTCCAACACCAAAAGCGATGCGTTATTTAGAGGTTGAACTAAAAAATGATATAAAGGAAGGATGAGATGAGTTAAAAGTCTTTTCATCTTGGGGTTTAAAGTAAGTTTTTTGAAAACCAATAATATCTAAGTTGTATAAAGAATATAAAGATAAAAGATAGTGTTGTTTAGCAAAGTTAGTGAAAGATCGGATATTATGAGTTGCAAAGGAGAGTTTGAGTACATTAATGGGGTTGTATTAGAAGTATTATTAGGTGTGAGGAATATATTATTAATATCTGTAAGAACAGTAATCATAAAATAAATATTATTAAAATTGGAGAAAACTCTTTAGAGCCTTTTCTGCTTCGATATTATAATTAGTGTTGAGGGTGTACGTTGTTGGTATTTTGTCGATTTGAAGAAAGTCATTATAGATAAGAACAGCATAAAATGTGTTACACATAGTGACTAAGATATTGACCATTTCAGTAAAATTCTTGAGCGTAAGTTTTGGGCTTCTGTAATTTCTGTGAATGCTGAAATAATTTGTTTTTATTTGTTAATTATTGAGGTAGAGGCATCGATAACAGGGCCATTTCTGTACTATTTCATATCATAATCTGCCATTATTTCTTCATCAGAAAAGCTGATTTTGATATTAAGTGTTTGTTCAATTACTTCTATTCTTTTCATGGTAGAGCTCAAGGTAAGCGTAAAATCATCAAGTTTCTGTATGAGTATCAGGAAACTAGCTTTGATGAAGTCTTTGAATCTTGATCATTATTTTGTTCATGTATAAAGCCTCCTGCAATTATTCCTGTAGAAATGTCACATGATCTGTATTGCTATTGATGGGATGCTTGTATTGTTGCTTTATGTTTAGAGGGATATCATCGCTCCAATCTGATGTTAAACTAAAAGACTGTTTTGGTAAAGTATTATTGTTGTTTTTGATGCAGAAGGTGACTTCGCAAGTACACTAGTCATTTTGACTTGTTTTTAAGAACCATCTGTAACAATGTTAGTAAAAGTAATATTAGGGCTAATAGCTCTTTTACGAAGACGAACAGGAGCTTTATAGTTGTTGTATTGTGCTAGTTGAAAACGTTGATATAAATGTTAAGTGTTTTTATCTTGGAAATTGCAACGTTTTTTTAGATAATCTTTGATTTTATGATGCGAAGAGGAGCATATGGCACATAATTTGACTTTGGTTTCTATTCATTCTACATGTTTGCTATTGATCGTGAGATTGTCATTACTGATTGCTACTTCATAATCATCAGCTGAAGGAAATAAAAGAAGGCATGTTGTAGATTGTGATAATTGGATCTTGCCTTAAGAATAATCCAGGCTGTTGCATTAACCATCAGACCCAGGTCAAATGTTGAATCTGACAATCTTGCAAATCAGAAAAAAATTTTTTAATGCATAATTCAGTGGCGTCCAATGGTATTTCAGTAACTTTGATTGATTGTTGTAGAATAAACGGATATTTTGGCATGATTTCGAGGGGTAAAAATGTGCAATTTTCTAAATTAGGCAAAATGACTTTACAAAATGTGTCCCTTTCTTCTTTGTCAGAAATGTCACTTTTAGTATTTTCTTTAATTGGTCTTCTGGATGTTTGACAAGCACAACATCTGAAAATGAGTCAAATTAATCAAAAATAAGGTCAGTAATGTCAGAGATTTTGCTTGAGGGGATTTTCCAAGGTAATCGTCCGCTGAAAAGAAGGCGAAAAAATTTGTTTTTTTAGTGGAAATTTCTTGAGAGCTTTTATTGTTATTCAAAAAATTTTCTGAAGCATTGTTAGCGTCATTGACGTTCATAAGTATTTGTTCAGAAGAGACAACTAGAATAGTTTCACCTGTTAAAACTTCTTTGCCCTTTTCTTTATCGAGCAGAAGAGGGTCGACGTCCATAATAACTGGAGTTTCTTTGTTGTTATTGATAGTGAAGACACTACTATCAGGTTCAGTAGTTTGTAAGGTATTCTGTTTTTTATTTGGTTGTTGCTCTGGAATGTCAGGGTGAAAGCAAGGTTGTTATTTTTGTTAGTTTTTATTGTTCTCTTTCTTTGGTCTGCTTATGTTGCGAAAAGAGTTTTTTAAATAAAAAATTTTTTTTTTTTAAGTGCGGTAGATTCACATGATCTTTATTAAATTCAAAGTACAAATAACAGAGTTAAAATATTAGGGCTAAGCTATTAAAATCACCTTACGGGGCCCCACTAACTAAAGTTGATATTTTTGATTCATATTATTATATGATATATGAACTTTATTTGGTTAAATTTTTATAGTCGATTA